CCATGGCAGGGGGTCGGACTTGGTGATCTGCTCAGGTCCTGTCCTACCCTACCGACTATGACTATGACAATTGAATAGTCCTTTTCCTTTGTCTTTTCTACTGTATTTCTGTTGTTTGATTTCATGTCAGTCACACCCCACCCCATCTGGTTAGCATTCAGAACAACAGCACGAGCATCTTCTGATTAATGCAATATGTGAATGGAACATTATACTTTTTCCAGACAGAGTTCTGAAGTAGTCACAGTACTGTAGTGTCTCTGGCATTGATACTCAGAAGTGCTGAGCACCAGAGGTGTAACTAGGGGCCAGTGGGGCAACGACTCGAGGCACCAACTTGGATGGGGGAGACAAAAAACAGCTGCTACCTGCCACTGCACAATCATGCCAGCAATACAACAGCAACTGAATGTCACTGTTGCCCTGCATCTTGGATGCCTAGCCAGGTTGCTGCACCGCTGCTGACCACCCACATGCCCACTTGAAATCAGTAGGATCTGCAGGCACAGAACAGCTTTGAAATCCATGTTAGATATAAGTTATGCTGCCTCAACACCTGTGTGCTTTCTTTCTGGCAGTATAAGGAAGCCCTCCCAGAGCTCATGAGGTATTTAGCCCTGGCCAGAATTTGCTATGGAGATCTTCACTGGAAAATGGCAGAAGCCCATGTTAATTTGGCTCAGGGATACCTCCAGCTGCAAGGTGAGTTTACAGAGTTCCCTGCTCATTTTTTTTTGGCCCAGATCCTATAGTCTTCTCACGCAACTCCCAAGATTGCATGATTTGGCTTTTAGCTTTATAGGGTTTTTTGTTGTTTTTTTTCCCAGAAGGATGTTTTTAGTCTTAATAAATTAGAACTAAAGCAATTTTAATACGGTATAAAAGGACAAATGTATAAAAAAATGTACTGAATTTCTAGTTAATGCTAGTCCTTCATTTTTTTTCTTCTGGTATCCTCCAAAATTGGTGTCTCATATAATGGCCATAGGAGGAACACAGTTGAAAAAGAGAAGGGGTCTGAAGTTTCAGAATTTGTCTCAGAGACACAATCAGTTGTAAAGAAATCTCAGAAATGATGACGTTTTTAGTCTCTCAAAATGAGGATAAGGAGAACAAATAGTTTGGTAGTGGGAATTTTCTGTGACTAAGTCTGGGGCATCTGTGAAAATGGTAATTGTTCAGGCATGCTACAGAGCAATCCTGAAGTGGCTTTTTCTTTCTGGATAATCCGTTTGAACACATGGGGTCAAACCAGTTTACTCTAAAACTACCATAAATCCTAGTAATTTTTCATTTATACTTTAAAAATTTCTAAGCCATTTTACAAGCATGTGACTATCTACTTCCTATCATGTGTTCTTAATGTGTGGTGAATATTAGCAAGCTATTAGTTTTTAGGTTCAGCCCATCTTGCATCCCCAGGATCCTTGAGAAATACTCTTACTTTCAGTTAAATATAGAAATCTTGGGAGAGAGTTTGGGATCATGGAATTTGTGGGATCATATTTGCTGTCTGTATTCCTTAAAGACAGTAATCCTTGCCCTGTCTGTGTTTTTTCATTGCATTTTTTCTAAATATTAATTGGATAATAAACTTCACATTACAAGTTAGCCAGTTAATAAGACTTATGTTTTAAGCACACATGCCAAGTTTAAGCACACTTGAAGTCTTTATATATGTGGCCTGACACTCTACCATAATGGATATATAATACAGGCATGTAATATTGATGACAGTTCAGTCAAACCAGTGACTGAATGGGAGGACTTTAAGGAATGCTTAGGGCACGTCCACACCACAACCTGCAATATAGTGTTGAGATAAACAAGGTAGCTCTAAAAGAATCAGAAAAAAATCTAGCTGTAACAGTACAGAGCTTAATGCAGACTAATTAAGCCTGCTTCTCAGACTAATTTACACGTGGTATCATTTTTAGTTAAATGTGTGAACGGTTTTTAATAAATAAGAAACAATGGTATATTTTTGGACCAGGATGTATGCATTATTTTAAATTCATCTCAGTTCTCTAATTCCCTCACACATTGTTTCTTTTATTTTTAAGAAGAAATGTTCTTTACAATAGAACTGTTCGGTAGCAATTCTGAGAGGAGACAAAATGGAGAGTACTTTGATTTTTACAGCCATACATCTTGCTTTTTAGGTAGACCAAATGTAATCGTTTGCTACTTAAACCTAGTGGCTCAGCTGGGTCTTTTGCTGAAGAATATGAACGTATATTGTAGAATATATTAAACCAAGCCTTCTCACTTGAAAAAGAAAGATCATCTTCCTCAGTACGCATATGGAAGTAGCTGTGCTTTCCTCATGTGAATCTAAAAGCTGAATCCGCCACTGAAGATTTTGCTTTCTTTATGTATGTTCACAGGATTTTCACTGCAAGCAAAACAGCATGCAGAAAAAGCCAAAGAAATTCTTCTTGCCAGCTCTCTTATCCCTTCATCTGAATCTGAACAAAGGATGGACATACTTCAGTGTTCAGTTGCTATTTCTCATACATTAGGAAGAGCATTAACTGCACTTCACAAGTATCCTTTCTCACTTTTGTTTTACTATGTGCGATTGGTATTAGAAGTTTTTCAGATAGTTGGATTGGATTGTGGTGAATTGATAAAACCAATGTGACAAGCATGCCGTGTGGTCTATTCAGAAATCTAGATGAAACCTCACCACACTCCAAAAATGTCTTCCATAATCATCTTATCATGCTAATAACCCTGGGCAACTAGTGCTTCCCGAGTCTGGGCGGGGGAGGCACCAGATCTATGATGGAAGCCCCCCAGTGGCCGATCGCCAACCCCAGAACCACGAGCAACGAAATCAGAAGTGCACTTCTGCCGGTGCTTCTGGTTTCGCGGCTGGTGCTTCCAGGGGGTGCATGGCCGATCTCAGGGGGTGCACATGCACCCCCTGCACATTGCCAATGCTAATAACAGTATTCCTTAGTGTGACCTTACTGTTCCTTGGTTTTGCCAACTAGACCTTAGTCAACAGGAAGTGGCCTGCATCATTACCATTGGAGGAGGTTACAGTATGTTTATTAACCTTTATGACCTCACACGCATCATTATAAATATCTGACAAATTTAAAAGGTGCATTAAAAAGCAAAATACAACAAGATATATAAATAGCAGGCAACACAGTCCACAAACTGAAGTGTTCAGTCTACACAAGATTCTTTACTGTGCGTTAGACCAATCTAAGGCATAGTAAAGTGTCACCATCTACACACATACGGGACTTACCGGGCATGTCTACACAAGATGCTTACTTCACATTAGCCTAATAACACTGTGCAGTAGTGTGGCAGGCAAAAACTGTGCTAATAGCCTATTGCACAGTTATTAGGCTAATGAACAATAAGTGTCACTAAAAAACTATGCACCAGAGCTACTGTGCAGTAACTAGTTACTGCTCTTTTAGTTATAGTACTTTATTAAGGAAATACTAAGCTAAATATGCAGCATCTAAGGCATAGTAATGAACGTAGACATGCCCAGTGTGCAGTAAATTAGACTAATGTGCCATTTCCTAGCACCAGGATATACAGATGCTAGGTTAATAGTGCATTAGCTACTGTACAGTAGCATACATGTGGATGCTGAGTGGGAGCAACTAGCAATTAGCAGTTAGCTCCCAGTCAGCCCAGGCAGCAGGTTGCCAGCTGCTGCCTGGCTAAACCCTGATGTGGGGGGAGCTGTGCTAGCTACAGCGGCAGCTGTCTCTCCACCTTGTGGGGGATCGGGACCTGTCCCAATCCCCACACGTCTGGGAGAACTGTCCTGGCAACTGGGACTGCTGCATTCCAGCTACAGGGAAGTCAGGTTGGGACCCAGTCTCCATGTGGCTGAAAGAGCTGTCCCTCCTCGGTGGGGATGCTGCTTGCCAGCTACATGGCGATCCCCATATGGCTGGCAGGTTGTGTCCCCACTGAGTGGGGACAGCTCCTGGCCACATGAGGATCAGGATTGGGACCAGCCCCTGTCCCCCCTGCCAGTCCTGGGGCTGGCACCCAGGGGAGCTTGGCACTCCCCCTGGCTGCTGCAGGGGGGGAGAGCAGGGCAGGAACAGCCCTGGACTGGGCTGCTCCTCTCAGGGGCACTTTGCTCCAGATGGGGGTGCATGTATAACACTTTAATAAGCCTGAAAGCACTTCCACTAAAGTAAAGGATTGTGAAGGTTGCACGATTCCTTGGAGATTCACTGACAACGTAGCTCAAGTGTTGGATTTGTTGTCCTCATGCATGTTATCCTATCTTCTGCCTTTTTCACTGTTGTAAGCCTGTATGGTATAGAAAGGAAAAGAACAGGAGAATGACAGAACATCTGCATGTTTATGGTCACGAACATATGTGCATCTACCCCGACGATAACTCATCACTGTGTATGTTCTTTATGGTTGCTGCAAGGTGGGCTTTCTATTCATTATATAACTGAAAGTACTTTTTAGACATTAATTAAACCTCATAACACCCTTGTTAGGTAGAACAGCCAATCTGATGGAGGGACGAACTAAGACAAAAATTTGTTCAGATAATTTTTAAACATCATACATAGTTGTCTGGCAATGAAAGTAATATGAATGATGAGGGACAGCATCTCACGATATATTTAACATGAATGTACTCTTACTTTAAAGGAGCTGACAGCTGTATCCCTTTGGCAGATATTGTAAAAAAAACGTTTTTAAAGGGGTTAAATTCTAGGTCTATCAAATGCTGAGTTGTTTTTAGTTTGTGTGGATGTCTCAATATTTTACAGTACTTTAATGCATTTTATTTTCCAACACAAACATTTGTAGTGCTCTCGAAATTCTTAGCTTGCAGCATCTCCTGCTGTATAAACAAAATCATGAGGGTGGTCTATATATTTTTCCTAACCTGTCAAAGTATGCCAGTTGTTTTAATAAACTACACAAAATTAATGCAGTTATCCTCAGCACAAAACAGATTAAAAGATGCAGAGAGAAGTTTAATAAAAGCTGGGAAACTTTCAGAGGAATTGCTACAAGGCCAGCACATGCCACCAGACAAGTGGATGGAAATCAAAGCAGGAATTGAGTTGTCGTTTGCACAGTAAGTTTGGATTCCAGATAGTATTTAAGAAACATGTCAAAATAATCTGTTTAAATCTAACCAATTTAAATTAAAAAGAATAGAATCAGTATACATGTTTAACACAAAATACCGGAGGCTGTCATAGTAACAGAGAATTTGAAAGAGGTTTTATAACTTTATTCTTTTCTGCATTCAATAAAGGGAAGTTCTGCTACCAATAGTTTTATAATTCCATTTTCATTTTCAAGGCAAAGGTGAATGTGTGCAATTCCCTTCAGAGACCATCCATACTGCTTCTTAATTGGAAGAAGCATCTTTATAAAATGAGGTAAACTACTCCCATTCCTTGCCAAAGCAGAGTAAAATCCCCTTCTCATATCCTGCTGTTCTGTCTCACCTGGGAACTTCTTTTTAATGGTTCTATGGTGTCCCATTGAGCCACAGCAGCTGTTTATGGTGTTCTCTGAGCTTTCGGTGCTGTGTGTACCTCCAAACTTGAAGCAGTGACTCAGCGATGCATGTTCATTGGCTGGAGGCCCAGCTGCCATCATGACCTTTCATCAGGAGTCCTGTTCCATCTGTTGTTTTGGTTACTGGAGACACCCTGCTGAACGATGAGATTAGTATTTTCTTTCCTGCTTGATACTCTCATGGTCTCTTGGGTTCACATCACTAGACTCTTTGCAATGCTTATATATCTGCACCTGAAAATTGATCTCTAAAGACCTGATCCTGCACAGCACAGGTTTGAAGTACTGCTCATGTTAGCACAAGGTTAAAAGTGATACGCAGGACAGAGTGCTGAGAAAATGATCCTGTATTAGGGAGGGCGCTACTTGGTGACTACTGGATTATTCCCACCTACTCGCAACTGTGAGGATAGGAGCAGATCTCATTACTAAGATCATCAACAATATTTCTTTACCTACTTCCTTTTTATCTTGTGCCCTGGAGAGTAAGAGAATGGAGAAGACTTAGGATTTACTTCTGCTAAGAACAGAGATCTGCTTCCTCCTGATGACTGTCTATATTGGGGCACAAATAAGGTTACTAAATTTGTATTGAAGTGCAACAGCGTTGTGGGAGAAGAGATGCACATTAGCCAGTTGCCACTAATGTGGGGAGTGAGGCTTCTGCCATTAGTCTGTTGCTCAAGGCAGAAGACCTAAATTCAGCTCCCAGAGTAAATTGGCACAACTCCTTTGACTCCAGTGGAGTTGCACCTGTTTGTGCGAGAGCTATATATGGCCCTGGTAAATGCCTAACTGATTATGTATACAATTACGTTAGCAGGCTGGTTATGCAAGCTCACTACTTTAAACATTAAGTGTTAGCAAAAACACAGGTAGAGTGATAAAGTCTCCTGCAGTCATTCTGCTAACTCACTCTAATAGGCTTGAGAGAAACATAAATAAGCTTCAAAATACCTAGTTCTTGATTTGCATGTTCAAGAGGTTCAGATAGGAGTTTTTTCCCCCCTTTTTACCTTTTGGGCTGAGACCTGAACCTGCAAAATTCTGAATCTCTTGGGATTCAGCCATCATTTGGGATAACAGACAAGTCTTCTACATGCAGTATTGTGGATAACACTTGTCTCATTCACTAATTTGAACTTTGTAACTTTGGGTTTCAAAATAAAAACATGTTCAACTCCATAGCCAAACAAAGGGTCAGTCATGTCAACAATAGGCATTAATTTTACAGACCCATCATAGAAAAAGAAACAAACAGACTTATTTCTCCTTCAGTGTCAGATAATTAACAAGTAATATATTCTCATTTAGTTTGCATATTAAACTTTGTACAGGCGACTCACCATTTGCAGGGGATACATTCCTGTGATCCCTGCGAATGGCAAAATCTGCGAATAGGGCACTGCGTTCGTGAATGCAGTGCCCAGGTGGGTGGATGGCGGGCAGCAGCAGTGGGAGCCCGGCAGCAGCAAGTGCAGAGCTCTGGAGGACAGCCTCTTCCATCACTGTGTGAGTGTTTAACGTGTCTTTAAAATGCGGGTTCACCATTCACGAATATTTAAAACTAAGAATGCTGAACCCGTGAATATCGAGGGTTTCCTGTACTGACACAAGAGAGTGGAATTCTTGGTCATCCTTCTCTTTGAAAGTGTACATTAAAGCAAAATTCCTCCCTTAAGGATCAGGCCTGTGTTCTGGCTGGAGGAATCCTCTTCCGGTGAGCACAAAGTATCAGCAGATCAGCCCAATTCACAACAGCTGCTGCAGCCTCCTTTAGCTTCTGTTGCTGGCAGGTTGGTTTCTGGCTTGTGCAATGCAGTAGTAGGAGGCAATAGTAGCCCAAGGGAATCTCAGCTACAGTCTGCCAACTGACCCAGCCAGAGAACTTCTTTTCCATGGTTAGGGGGGAAGGAGAGACCAGTTAACACTTGCTCTCCCAGCTCAGCATGATTGCAATACTACAGGAGTACAGCAAGCCTTCTGAATATGGTGCAGGATGCCAGTAGGGAAAGTAGCTGGTATTTGTGGACTGTTTCCCTCTCCACACACAGAAATCTGCCTGGTTTCCCCTAGGGAATTTCCATTTGTCAAAAACTTGAAAAGTTGCTATCAACAGCTTCCAGACTGTGATCCACAGAGCACTTTCCGGAGACCTTGAAGGACTGATAGGCACATAACTCTCCTCTTTTCCAACGCTAAATCACATTGTATGAAACTAAAACTGCAGTAAACTCCTTCCTAATATGACTTTTTCTATATGAGCAATTGTAGTTGCCATAAGAATGTTACATATGTCTGTAAACAGGAGGGAAAATCTCAAAAGGGGCTTCAGCCAACAAGGACACTGACACAGAGAGATAGAATGCTCTTTTGAAAGAGCCACCCAGATACCATGTGAAGATTTGCTGCAGTACGAAAAGAAAATCCCCACAAATCGCACACCATTAATTATGACATCCTTCCCTGGAACCTACACCGAAAATTCTCAAACAATTGCAATCCATATTGGAAGACAACCCAATTCTTAAAGAGATCTTTCCAGAATCACCCATCCTAGCCTTTAAACAAGCACTGAACCTCACTAACCTCATCACCAGAACCAACCTCCCTATAACCCAAACCACACCCAGTGGATCCAGACCATGCCAGGACAAGAAATGCAAAACCTGCCAACACATCTCTACCACTCAGACAGTAACTACACCACACAACAGATCCATTAACATTTCTGGAGATGCAGATATAAGATCCAGGAATGGTATACATCTCATCCAGTGCACCAAATGCCCTGATGGAAAATATGTAGGAGAAACCAAACAACGACTGGGTACCAGAATGAATGTACACTGGAAATCTATCAAAGACAAGAATACCCAATTACCTGTGGGGACACATTTCATAGTTTCATAGTTTCTAGGGTCGGAAGGGACCTGAGTAGATCATCTAGTCTGACCCCCTGCCATGGCAGGAAAGAGTACTGGGGTCAAATGACCCCAGCAAGGTGTACATCTAGCCAGCAAGGTGTACATTTCTCACAAGGCAATCACTTCCTCTCCAATCTCTCAGTTTTAATCCTCAAAGGGAGCTTACAAAACATCTTTCATAGACAAGCTTACAAACTTCACTTCATAAATCTACTGGATACAAAAAATCATGGACTCAATATAGACACTGGATTTATAATGACACATTACAACCTGCCTGACATCTGATTTACCAGGTACCTGTCAGACCTGACCTTTTACACCAAAAGCTTGCAAAGAACTTTTTTCCAACTACTCAGTTGGTTTGATAAAAGATATCACATCTGCTCAAAGAACCTTGCCTGCCTAGAAAGAAGGAAGACATTCATGAGATACTCTGTCAAGCAGTATTGCCAACCCTAGCTCCTAAAAAAATCGTAGGTAGGACCTGCCAAAATTATGAAATTGGCCTAAAAATTATGATTTTTTTAAAAATAGTGGGTGAAATCCGGGCCCAGCTTCAGTCAACAGTAAAAACCTCTGTTGATTTCAATAGGGTTTAATCCAGTAAATGTTGGGCTATTTTTATTTACTTTCCGTGTTTTGTTTGGGTTTTTTTCAGCCATTAAGCTTTATATTTTTAATCGTTTCTCTTCAACAATACACAGGGACAATACACAGTTCTCTTTTCATGAAAACTGAGATACTTTCTACAAATACAGTTTTAAGAAAAATATAAGTTATCACAAGACTCCCAATAAAATCATGAGAGTTGGCAACACCATTTGAGATGTGGTACACACTATGAAAAATGTTGATAATGCTCAGTTCTGGGCAGCATTCCTACTTAGGAAGGGAATATATGCTTAACTACAAGCACACGTTCACTGACATCAGTGGGACTTAAGGGTAGGCTTAAGTGTTTTCTGAAATTGAGGGCTGAGTTTGCTGCTTAGCATTGCTTCTAGCAGTTTTTTTCCTAAGGGTATGAGGCATATGCTTAATACAAAAAAAAAAATCTCAGGATCATAGGAAAGCAGGGCTGGAAGGGACCTCACGAAGTCATCTAGTCCATCCCCCTGCTCAAGGCAGGATCATCCTGACTAAACCATCCCAGCTAACTAAAATAACCAACCTGGCTTTGCACCACAAATTTCTGAGAAAAATGTCCAGGAAACCAGCCTCACTTTATTTTTTCCTCATTTATATTCTGTGCTTTCCATTCTTCCAAATGTGTGTTAATAGAAGTTAAAGATGAAAAAGGCTGGTCTCCTGGTCTGGACTTCATTTCTCCTTATAGTATCCTGTGTTTTCCATTGCTTCATTCAGCCTAAGTTAAAATTATTCAGGTCAATTGGGTTTCCACCATTTCCCTGCCAAGAGATACTGTTCCAGAGTCTGATTAGTATCACTGTTAAGTTTTATGCTATTTAAATTTTCCTTTGCAATGGAACTGAAACTAAACCTTTCCTTTTTCGATATTTACATCTTTCAAATACTTTGAGACAAGTCTTCAGCTGGAATAATTCAACAACATTCCAGTTTGGGAACATAAGACCTATTGCTTTTGGTAGCTTCTTAT